TGGCTGGGGAATTCTGGGAGTTGAAGTCCACACGTCTTAAAGTGCCCAAGGTTGAGAAACATTGTCTACAGCTTCCTTGGCTGCTGATAATACACAGACTGGAAAAGGAGGAGTTCTCTCATCTTGCTTCTCCTTGGACTGAATTAAATTCTAAATTCATGATTTGGTGTCCCTACAACCCCGGAGGTGGCTTTTAATATATATCTCTCTATTTAACTTGCGTGCAGGTCTCTCTCAAGTTTATGAATGCACGCAGGAATTTATTTATATCACTCTTACCTCGCTCTCCCTCCGGAGATTCAGGGTGGCTGGCGACAAAGATAATGCCGTCAGTTAGCCAGTCAAAATAGCCCTTCCCGCCTGATAATAAAGTTGTAGAGCGCAGAAAGCGTAATAGCGTTATTATCGGGAATCGTAAAGTTAATTAAAATCCAGGAAAACTGCCGATGAAACCCATTTGCAGACGTTTATGTTCTCGCGTAACTCTTTTTAGTTCCTCTTTCACTGTCTGCATCCAGAGAGGTGGGACTAGAATCGTCCCAGGTTCCCCACTGGCACAGCCGATGGCAGTGCTGGATGTGGACGATGGGAGGTGTAGTCTGTACATTTTTTGCGGGGGGGTGTTAATTTGGGAATGACAGATAGAACTATTTGGGGAAGTGAAGTGAGAAAGGGCGAAAGAAAGGGGACTGGATGCAAATAAAACTTCTGAGTCGGAAGCCACAGCCCTCAAATCCCTTGAGGTCGACCCAAAATAGCCCACCCCTCTGCTCAAAGGAAGCAGGGGAGCAAAGATAAATTAAAAATAAGACCCACTGGAGAGTATATTTTAACTAAAAAAGGGAGAGGGCTTTGCACACTCACAGCTGCACTGACTTTTTTGGACGCTTTTGCAGACACCCGGATAACCTCTCCTTTTACACAGACATGACTGATTTCCTTGCTTGCTTTATTATTGATTTATGGATCTATGGGCTGGTTTTTCACGCTTTTTCTTGCTTTTATCACCGTTAGGAAACCGCCCAGGGTTACGATGCACATCTTTTAAACAAATAGCAAACGCACGCTTGCAGTAAATCGATCGAGCGGCTCGCTGGGAGCCGAAAACGACTTGACGGCACGTAATCAATGAATCAATCAATCGTCCGTAGCGATTGCAGGAATGATGTCAAAAGGGTGTGCGCGCGCGGGCGTGTGATATCTGCCCAAACTCTCCAAATTAGGGGCTGATCTGACAGTATTTCAGCTGCAGTGCAAAATTTAACCTGGGAAGGGATTTATTTATTTGAAATAATGCTATCCCGTGCACTGCCTCCGTTAAAAACACCCAGTTTAAACCCATTTTCCAAAAGAGAAACGTATTTGTCAGCCCGTAAGTTACGCCAGCTGTTTCCCTTCGAGGTGCATTTGGGGACTCAGGTCAAACCAACTTCCTCTAATTCTGTGTTTTGCAACCTCAGCGGCTTAAAGATGGGCGGACTT